CATACCCTGGTTTCTTGATGACATTTCCATGTGGCATGTGTCATTCGTCCCTTCTGTTCTGCTTGCTCCTCTGGGCTGAATCAGCTCTCTGTATCAGCTCAGAAGTGAGTAGGTTGAAGACACGGCGTCACCTCATTAACGCAACAAAGAAAATGCTGGGACATACCAGGCTTCTGACACACCTTCTTAGCTCTACGATTTGGAAAGATTGTCTTCCTCCAAGAGCCCTTTCTTCTGCCTCCAAGACCAGCCATGAAGCAGATGGGTTTCACCCAAGGGACTGCCAGGTCGAGGGAGTGAATCTAAGTGGTGGGTGCCCATCAGTAGGCTCTAAGTTAGGAGCCAGAACTTTCCCCAAGTTTACAATCTCTGCCTCTTACCGACATGGTCATCCTCAAACCTAACATTACACACAGAGCTGACTTATTCTGATTCAAGTGCTCTGTTTCTGTTTGGGGATCGTCTGTGTAATGATACGTTTCGTTAGAGAAAGGGTCACTTGTGGTTTAGCAGGGGAAGATCCTGATAGAAAATGTGGCCCTTAATCACAGTAATTTGCTTCTGAGAGAAGTCATGTGATTTCTGTCTAGTCTAGATCTTGGTTTATGGGTAGGGAAAGGAAGGGAACAAGGACCCGAAACTATAATAAGGCAAATGTCATACTTTACATTGGTGTGTGTGTGTGTGTGTGTGTGTGTGTGTTTCTAATCTTGCTTCAGGAGTCCTGATGGCTCTGTCTGGTAAGCACTGGACTGCTCACTGCAGGGTCAGTGGTTCAAACCTACCTTGGAAGAAGGTTGAGGCTTGTCTGCTCCCATAAAGATTTATAGCCATTCGGAGTTGTAATTGACTTAATGGCCGTGGATGGATGAGTATATCTCAGGTGTATTTGATGGTTTTGAAAGCATTTTCTGCCTGTGTTTAGTTGTCATTTTGCACCATCTGTTTAGCTGCAGGATCTTTTCACACCCTGGTTTTGAATAGCCCCTGACGGTTAACAAGCCACTTCTCATTTCATCTTCACACTAACTGTTGGGGGTAGAATTGTATTTGAGCTTGTTCTTTGAAAACAATAGGAATCAGCTTTGGCTGGCTGATGGCCAAGAGGACGTAGTGGTCAGACTGTGGAGGAGGCCCAAGAGCAGGCTCAGAAGCAGGTACCTCTGGAGTCCCAGCCACAGGAACTCCTGCGGGTACTGAAGTTGGAATGGGCAAGCGCAACTGTTCATAATGCAAATACCAGGAAGGCCCCAGAGGATGCTGGGCCAATGACCTGCTAAGGACATCTTGATTCTGAGTCCCCCAGTATCCTTTGCAATGGGGAGACATCATTGGAGACATGAACTCCTGTCCCTCCACCCCTGCAAAGAAACTGAATGCTAAACTCCTGACCAGAACCCAAAATCTTGGGCTCCCTTAGGCTTACGAGCCCTCATGGTGCAGTGGCCATGGGCTTTGCTGCCAACTGAAGGGTCGGGAGGCGGAACCTACCAGCCGTTCTACAGGAGAAAGATGTGGCAGTCTGCTTCCATAAAGATGGACACCCTGGAAACCCTATAGGGCAGTTCTACTCTGTCCTATAGGGTCACTATGAGTCTAATCAACTTGATGGCAGTGGTTGGTTGGTTGGTCTGTTAGTCAGTCAGTCACTGTACATATGAGAAGTCTGTAGCAGGGAAGCTGTTTGGAAGTGATGAGCAGATGAGGGAGACTGAGGGAGTGACCTGGGCGAGTTGTGTCAAAGGATCGATGCAGAAAAACAAGAAGGGAACGTACGCAGAAGTGAGAGCCACAAAACTCGAACAATGACAGGAATTTCGACCAAGGCAAGGTGGTGAGGGACCGAAAGGGAAACGATAATGCATCTTGGCAGAAAATTTGGAACCTGTGAGGAGAGGGGTATGATGGGGGCTTGGTGGTTGCTGTTTTGAAGTCCAAGGCCCCTGGAGAACCCTGGGGTGCAGTTTATGGAAAGAGATGCTAATTTGCATTCACTTTCCAATTCTGCTGCCCCTCCTAGGAGATACTAGACCAGAAATGGGTGCTTTCTCAACTGGGCTCGCAACCTTCCATTTCTGTTTTTCCTCCAACCCTCTTGAACAATGAAAGCATGATTCCGTACTCACGTGTGATTCTCTTCAGGCGAACACTGATCTCTCTGATGCCTTTTCTTTCTGCTTTTAAGATGGATGGACTTCAGGGGTGGGGAACCTTTTTGCTGCCAAGGGCCATTTGGATATTTAGAACATCATCCGGTCCACACAAAATTATCCCCTAAAAATTAGTCTGTTGTATTTGGGCAAGCTCTTTCATTAATCCACCTCTAATGTGATGGCTGGAACTGCTTCTCTTTGATGAGACGTGCCATGTTAGCTGGTCTTGATATGGGCTTTATATGACCCTCCCCATGACCCAATCCAGCAAGACTTTCGGGCTCTTGCTTGGCCTTCCTATGGCGTTTTACCCTGCCAGCCATCCCCAAGTGCCTCTTCTTCGGAAAGCCCTCCCTTAGCTTCCAAATGTTTGCAACCCTTCCTTGGTTCTTCATTCTCCCTCGCTGCTGCTTCTAAGTCACCTTTGCCAGTTCCTCTTGCCACATACAAGGCCATTATTGCTCTCAGGATGGGGTCTGACTTTCCGCATTCGCCAGCATAAGCTCAAACACACCCCTGGCTTGTTTCTACGTGAATCCACATCTCCAGCCTCATCCGTCTCCTGGGCTGATGTGCCGATGCGTTGACTGCCGCCCGGCACTGTGAACTCCAACCCCAGCAAACTCTGGATCTCACCTTGGCACCTGTTCTTCTGACCCTTCTATTCTTGGCCAATGTAACCTGCTTCCACCCCGTTGCCCGAGCCAGGAAGCCTCGGCTTGAGAAGCCACCTTTGGGTCCTCCCTTCCTGTCACTGTCGTGGCAGTTATTGGGTGCTTCCTTGTCAATTCCAACTCCAGTTCCATCACTCATAATTGTCTTGTCTGCCTCTGGTTTCACCATCCTCCTGCCCCACCCCATCTTTCACACTCTACCTAGACCGCTTCCTCAGCTCACACACCATCACAGCATGGCCTTTGAGTTACCTACGGGACTGGTTGTGCCATTTGTCAATCGCAGTCTTGTTCCTGCCTCTCCTCAGTCTTCTACCTTGAGCCCCAAGCTGTCACCTGCCAGTCCTCATCTCTTCTTGTTCTAAGATCCAACTCACTTGTCACTTCCCTCCGGTCGGGTTCGTTGTGCTCTTCACGGGGTATACTTAGCACTCACTCGCTGCCACCAAGTCATAGCGCCCCTAGTGGACAGAGTGAACTGCGCCTGTGGTTTCTAGGTTGTACGTCTTTACGAGAGTAGAAAGCCTGGTGGTTTTGAACTGCTGACCTTTTGGTTACCAGCCTAATGCATAACCACGACCCTACCAGGGCTCCTTGTACATACCATTAGACAACGCTGTTTTAATTCTGATGATCCCTGGTGGTGCAGGGGGCTGCTAACCACCAAGTCAGCAGTTCAAACTCATCAGCTGATCCACAGGAGAAAGATGAGACTCTCTGCTCCCATAAGGACGTACAGTCTTGGAATCCTGGGGAGTTCCATGCCCCCCTATAGAGTTAACTATTAATTTGAATTGAGCTGATGGCAGTGTGTCTTGCTTTCCTGTTTACTCCTAAGGTGAGCGCTGTAACAACATCGAGTCCGTTCTGACTCATAGTGACCCTCCATAGGGCGTCCAAGGCTATAAATCTTTATGGGATTTCTTTCTCCCTCATCTTTCTCCCATAGAGCAGCTGGTGGGTTTGAACCAACAACCTTGCAGTTAGCAGCCTGACCCCTGACAGCGCCCCCAGGGCTCCTGCTAAGGGCAGATGTCTCAATGGTCCCTGGCACAAGAAACGTTTGAATGATTCATGAGTGTGTTTTCCAAACCATTATTGTTCCGTGGGAACACACTCTTGTATTCCGTTTCTCTTTCCTCAGCTCTTTGATGTTGACGAGGATGGCTTCATCAGGGAGGACGAGTTCTCCACCATTCTGCAGGCTTCCCTGGGAGTGCCTGACCTGGATGTCTCCGGCCTCTTCAAGGAAATCGCCCAGGGGGATTCTATTTCCTATGGTGAGTGTATGAGTGCGCTTCCTGATTTAGCCTACAAGGAGGGCATCTGGATTATAAATGGACCTCATGAAAGGATATAGTTTTCCTCAACTATGAATAATCATGATAATGATGGTGATAGTAATAAGAGTAAGTAGAGGTAGAGTAGTAATAAGCCAAAAAAAAAAAGAAAGACAAACTCATTGTCATCCAGTGGATTCCTATCATGACCCTGTAGGACCGAAGTAAAGGGCCCTGTGGTTTCCTGGGGCTGTAAATCTTCACGGGAGCACACAGCCTCATCTTTCCCCCTGGAGTGCCTGGTGGGTTCAAACTGCTGACCTTGTAGTTAGCAACCCAATATGTAACCCACTGTGCCACCAGGCTTCTTTAGAACAGTAATAATATTAGCTACGTATTGAGTGCTTACTATAAGCTAGGCATTAGCTTACTTACTATAAACATACTATAGCTAGGCATTCTTCTGTATAGTCTATATATGTTAACTCATTTAATATACATTTTATACTTATATTTATAGTTATAATTAAATGCTTATTTATATATACATAAATGTTATTTGTCTATATAAATGTATTTATTTATGTATAGTATTTATATAGTGTTTATGTATCTATATCTAGATAGATAGAGAGATAGAAAGCCTATGTAATGAGTATTCTTAACTACTCATACTTTACTGAGCTACAAAGAGCTTAACTGACCTAACCCCACCCAGCTGGGGACTGGGAGCCTGGCCAAGGAGCCTGAATGGCTTCACAGCCTCTCTCGGTATTGTTCTTCTGAGTAAGTGGCCAGGGTTGCCTGAGCAAATTAATGAAGTTGGGTTGTCATCACAGTACGGGGAGATGGTCAGGGGCCCCGGCAGAATTAATAGTAGCTTCAGCAGTTACGGAGTGGTTCTTTGTGTAAGCTTTCCCGCTATCATTCCCTGTCATCTTGCTGGCAGGCCCTGTGAGGCAGGCACTAACTTTTAGGGTGGACAACTTTGTGGCTACGTGGCAGGTCCATCTTTCAATGGCTGGCCTCTCTCCTGGTGGCTTACGTGTGCACATCCAAACAAGTCCATGGAGCCGAGGGGTTCATTTCCATAGTTTTCCCAGTGCAGGTCGGGTACGAGTTGGGCTGTTAACTTCAAGGTCAGCAGTTCAAACCCACCAACCTGCTCCTTTGGAGAATGATGAGGCTGTCTATTTCCATCAGGATTTATAGTCTCGGAAACCCTGCACAGGTCCCTATGAGTCAGAATGGAGCTGCTGGTGGAGGGTTGGGTTTGGTGTCCTCCTCAGTGGAGGACAGTGGCCATGTCCCTCCTCAGCTTTGAAGTGGGTCTAGAAGGCAGATGGCCTGCCATGCCCCTCCTGACCACTCAGGCTGCAGAGGGATTCCTCTGGAATGGCCTTAAAAATTTTTGTTCTTTTCTTTTTCAATGGTACTCCAATTGCATCAGCTCGTTAACGTCCCTGGGAGAGGGAAATGTTTTCCTTTGCTCTCTGCTTTTCATTATTGCCATTTTGGCAACCCTTATTAGTCTGGTTTAGGGAATTCGATGCCTAGGGCATTTACTTCGTTGAGGGTTTGTTGTTGCTTTTTTACATAAGAAATTATGAAACGAAGATGCATGCACGGAGACAAAACTGAGGAGTATGTAAAGAGCTTCAAATCTAAGCATTTGGTTTGCTGAAAGCTGGAGGTTTCTGCGGGATCCCTGGCCCCATGGCACAGGGCTGCAGGGAGTGACTGTCTTTGTTTTGGATGCCACTGCCCTCTCGGCCGGCCGAGGCCCAGGCAGGCCCTGGATCTTTTGAAGGGGCACAAGTCTTGAAGTGAAAACTTCATTTCAGTCGTTAATTCTCATGCAGATGAACCCGAGTGTTGAAAGCTAGGAAGAAATAATTAGTTCATCTGATTGATGAAGGTATGAAGTGGCCTTTTGAAGCACAGTCATGTTGCAATTGCTAAGAATTTGATTTAGGCTGAACCCAGTGACTTCCTCACCACTGGGGTGGGGGTGCGAGGTAAGCTCACTCTGCCAGTGGCTGTTGAGCTGATCCTGAGTCATGTTGAGTGACCCCAGGTGTTCAGAGTAGACCAGCGCTCCACAGAGCTCTCAAGGCTGGGACCTTTCAGCAGGCAATCAACAGACCTTTCTTCCAAGCCCCTCTAGTTGGGCTTGAACCGCCAACCTGTCCGTTAGTAGTCGATTGCTTAACCGTCTGCACCGCTCAGTAACTCCTCACCACTGAGGCCTAATTTTTGTCTTCATGTCCCACATATACCACACGCATGAAGGGGAGCGGAGGTTATGGGAGGATCAGCAGAAATCCAAGGTTAGCAAAGGGACGATCGGGGTCAAATCCTCTGACGTTGGCGTCAAGGACCAGGCTCAACCAAAGCTAAGGCTTCCTTGGCTCCACACAGTCATAAGAAAACAGAGAAACTTCCAACTGGAGGGCAATATTGTGTCTTGAACTTTCTTCTTGCCCCAAATGACCGACCTCCAGAGCACTGAGTAAGACATACCTGCAGAGCATGATGGAGTGGTATCAGGTCTAGCCACCACTCAGGGCAAGAGATGGAGCTTTTTCTGAGCCCCAGACACCCCTTGCACCCTTCCCAACCTCTCTTTCTCCTCCTGTCTTCAGGGAGGGAGCCCTTTCCTCATGTGGAAAGTTGCCTTGAAGCTTTTCTTTAGAATATACGCCAAGAAGCTGTAGCCTTCAGTGGCCAGTCTGGCTTTGCTTCAGTGTCTGAGCGCTGTAGGGATGGGATGGTACCGCACTGGCCCTTTTGTGCCTGGCTCTCTTCCTTTCTGTGGCATTGTGGTTCATCCACCTTGCTGCGGCGTGACGATGCATTTATTTCTCCAGTTGTATAGCACGATGTTGCTAATATGCCCCCGTTTATCTGGCCATTGCTGCTGTGGCTGATACATGTGGGGGGATTCCATGATGGATAACGATGCTGCGATGATGACCACTCAGTAGTCAAGTGCAAGCAACTCCCCTCAGGATCGTGGAGCCCGGTATGCCCCCTGCCTTGAGTTCTGTGCCTAGGGGCAAACCGTGCCCACCGTCAGCTTAACTGGACCCAGGAAAACTGCTTTCCAACGTGCTTTTACAATGGGTAGCTTCTCACCAGCAGGGGCTGTGTGTTGAGTAAGAATTTTGTGGTACAGCCACAGGCCACGTATGTTCTCTCAGGCAATATCCAACTGCATATATGTGTCTGATCCCAATCCCTGGAAAGCTTGTTATATTAAAAGCTTGAGGTACATAACAAAGGTTTGTAATAACAAGCGGGCCTACTCTGGGATATGTGTCAACACACTATTATTATGACTGTATTGTTATGTTACAAACGTGTCGGTATATCTGGGAGTGTTTCTGTACTGCTTTAGATGCATAGAATCGTGTACTGTATACTAAGACAAACATTTGACTACCTGATGTTAGATATGAATCATACTTAGCTGTTCCAATTTACGGACAGATATCACTTAAAGACAGGCTCATTCATAATTTGGGGACTGTCTGTGTATAATGAATATAGAGAATGGGCTTTGATGGCCCAGTGGTCTGCTCACTGCAAGGTCCCTGGTTCAAACCCACCAGCTGCTTCTCAGGAGAAAGATGAGGCTATCCATTCTCATGGAATTTAGTCTCAGAATCCCTAAGGAGCAGTTCTACTCTGTCCTGTGGTCACCAGGAGTCAGAATTGACTCAATGGCAGTGGGCTTGGGTTTGTTTGTTTGAAGATGGCAGAACGGCAAGTCACATAACATCCTATTTCACAGATGTTTTGTGGACATTCAGTGATGAATGATCGCACTCGTGAATCCGCTTCATGCCAAAAGATGATTCACCCCAATTTATCTTATTGTGTTTTTCCCTCTTTTTTTTCCCCCAGAGGAATTTAAAAGTTTTGCCCTAAGGCATCCGGAATATGCTAAACTATTTACCACATACTTAGACCTCCAGACCTGCCATGTGTTTTCCTTACCGGAGGAAGTCCAAGCAGCTCCCTTACTTGCCAGCAATAAAGTCAGTCCTGAGAACCATGAAGAAAGCACCTCGGGCAAAAAAGATGACTGAAGGCGGCTATTTCCAAAGAGGAGCCCGCACTGGCTTCCGCTTGAGGTTGGAGACCCGTCCGTTGACTTTTAAATGTACTTGGTGCATACAGAGGATGCTCGGGATGGAGATGTGTTCAAAGGGAAAATTATGCAGTTTCTTATTAGAATTGTTCTTAATTGCATATGGACATTAGCATCATTTTCTTTTGTATCAGATTGTGCTGTGTGTTTACTGATTAGTTTGCTTGGTGGCAAATAGCAAGTTTTCTTGAATTTTGCAACTGAATCTGCACATCCCGAGGAATGCAGTGGCCTTCCATAGTAACATCAACTCAACACATTTTCAAAGGATGAGGGGCCTTCAAAAATTTCGTGGAAAAGTTCCATGCTATTTTAATTCCCCTTTTTCCAGGAACCGTGTGAAGGCCCCACCCTCCCCCTTATAAACACCTTTAATCTACCTTCCTCTAAAGGAAAAAATAAAGGTAATATTCTCTTATCTCTAATCCATTTCCATTAGGAGAATAAGAATGGAGAGTCTGAGAAGCATAGCAGGATTTTGTACCTTGAATTTCTTACATCCATTTTCCCCCTATTCGTGTTTCAGTCTCTGAGCTCCCCATGTATGGGTGGGCTGGAAGAGGGGGCTCCAGCCACCAGAGGACACTCCTTCTGAGCTCAGATTCTCCTGAGTGTGCATCTGTATGGAAGATTTCTTTTGCAGTCCCCATTGCAAGGAAGTCATATCCTTTTACATGATCGAGGTTTAGAGAAGGGTTTTAGAACTCCGTCTTAAAGACGGCTACTTTGCCAAAGGCTAAGTGGGAATTGCCTTATTGGAGGCCTAATGAGCATTGATGGCCTAATGAGAATAATGAATTGCGTGCCACAGAGTCCAATTTAATTTGAATTGGATGGTTCAGCATGACGAGAGCTTGTCCAATAAATGAATCAGATTTGCTCTGTTTATATATTAGTCAGATGAAGATTGTTTGCCATAAGTGAGGGTTTTATTTAAGTGTTGCCTCGAATTGTATTGATGTAATGCTGAGATACTTCGAAGAGAACACACAAAAGATTCCACTGCCTCCCTCACCCAAGGCCAGAGACTCCCAAAGCCTCAGAGCACCCATGTTACCGCCCAACAGGGATCTTCAGAATGGCATTTTCCTTCAAAGTTAAGCAATCATCTATTTCAAGTGCCATTTTTATTGGGTCCTATGTATGTAGCTTGTCGATGGTATACTGTGTAACCTCTATTTTTGAGATTTTGAATGGTTCATTACTATAAGGCACAAAATAGTTTGTGTTCTGCAGTTATCTCTGGACCTAGAGCTCTTTGCTTTGGCTGTGGTTCTGAACGGGTGGGCGAGTCTCCCCAGCCTAGTTCATGCTTATGTCCGCTATCATTCAAGTGGGGGCAAGCTCCCAGGAGAGGTGTTGGAGGTGACGCTTGGTCGAGGATCATGATGCCAAGCTAGCTTTCATAGCTATGACAAGAGCTTAAAATATCTGTGGAAATTAAGCATCAAAATCCTAAAGCTATTTAGACAACATATTAAATGAGCCAAAAATAATAGTTTAAATAATGAGCAAGATTTGTCCTTATAATAGTATTTGTCATCTGCCATTAAATGTATGTCATACTCGGGTACCATGATGTATTTTTATCACAGAAAAACCATCTATTATTTTCACAGTCATGAAAGACTGGCATTATTAATTAAAGGCTTTTTATGTGGCTCTTGCAAATGTTCCCATGATTTTGTTTTAAAATACTGTTTTATGCTGTTTAATTCCACTAGTCTGGCAATGTAATATTCCTGTTTTATTAGTATGTTACTGAATAAACAAGCTTCCTACATAAAATCATTTTGGCCTTTAAAAAATTCTAGTGTTGTCATTTTGTCTCAAATGTAATATACCTTTTTAATACCATGGTTGAATGTAAGTTTGCATATTTATGAATGTGATTAATCATTTTTATTTGCATTTAATCTTTGCGAAATGTCAGAAAGTTTAACTCTAATGAAAAACTTGAATTTTACGCAAAGTGGCAAGAGTTGCCTTCTGTCTGGTTGGTTTGTGATCATGACACACGTCCTGAGCCTCAGTTTGACTACAGACCAGAACTCTGCTTTTCTGCCGTGTCAACAAAGATTTCTTTCAAAGGCTTTTCTCCTCTCAGGACTTAAAGTAAGAAATTAAATTTCATTAAATCAATGCCATTACTTTATGATTATTTATATTCACTGGAAAAGAAATGGGGTACTCTTTGAAATGAGAAATACTAGATTCTAAGACTTCTAAATCATAAAGGTTTTTATCAAAACAGCTGTATTGAAGGACAAAGGTATGATAGATACTTACAGACTATTGCTTACATCAGGTATATTTACTCTTTCTCTGCCACTCAATGTATCCTTTCCCCTCCTCACTTTCTCGAGCATAGTTGGGTGCAACCAGGCAAAGATCCCTCAGACATCAGTTACTCACACATGGTCACCCAGGGGCTTGCCTTTTGTAAGTATTTGATTAGGAATAACTGATGAGCATAGTTCGCTTAGCTTTACTGCCACAATCTGCCATGAGAAACCCCCAGATCTAATTCAGGAAATTCATCCATACTTTCATTCTTCTAGAACCATTCTCAAAATTCAAGTATGGTCAGTCAGGGTCCTCCAGAGGAAAAGAACCAAAAGGATGATTTGGGAGGTGGCAGGAGGGTAGAGACTGCCTGTTCTAGAAGATGCTGGGAGTAGGTTGTCTTAGGCTAGATTGTCTAAAAAGCAAAACCTGTAAAGGTGTGTGTGTGTGTGTGTGTGTGTGTGTGTG